ACGTTGTTAAACGAAAGTAATTGTGCCAAAATGATCACCTCTACATGGGCTAACTACTACAACATCGATTTTTCAAATCCAATGCGCTGTTTTAATGCAGAGAAATCCATTGAATCCAATGCGCCGCAAGTGCAGAGAAAAGCACTTAGGGAGGGTCAACAAATGCCAATACCAGCTGTGTAAACGAACAAAAGTTTTTATTTTAAGCAAAGTACACGCACTAAACTCTCAAATACTATAAATAATGGCCATATCTAACTACTACAACCATTGTTTTCAGCATTTATCTCTTTTTTTATATCTTTTATGAATAAATAGGAGTAAATATGAGTATGAATTTTGAATAGCTTTTTTTCTAAAAGGGGCGTGGTCACCAAATTCTCAAGTATGATCAATAACTACCATATCTAACTACTACAACCTTTGTTTTCAGCAGAAATATCTTTTTTATGATTAAATATGAGTATGAATTTTGAATAACTTTTTTTCAAAAAGGGGCGTGGTCACCAAATTCTCAAGTAAGATCAATAACTACCATATCTAACTACTGCAACCTTTGTTTTCAGCAGAAATATCTTTTTTATATTTCTTATGATTAAATATGAGTATGAATTTTGAATAACTTTTTTTCAAAAAGGGGCGTGGTCACCAAATTCTCAGGTATGATCAATAACTAAGTATTTGGTCACTTCAAACAAGGAAGATCTCTGGCTCTCACAGACCTGTAATTTCTTCTTTAGGAAGCTCTTCTGTCCTCCACTCGTTACCTGTATTAATGGCACCTGTTTGAACTCGTTATCTGTATAAAAGATAGCCCAAATGTAGCCCACAAGGATATTTCAACCACTAATAATCTCCCTCGATCTGGGGCTCCATCTCGTGGGGTCAAAAGATCATGAGAACGGTGATCAAAAATCCCAGAACCACACGGGGGGGACCTGGTGAATGACCTGCAGAGAGCTGCGACCAAAGTAACAAAGGTTACCATCAGTAACACACTACGACGACAGGGAATCAAATCCTGCAGTGCCAGACGTGTCCCCCTGCTGAAGCCAGTGTTGTTTGCCAGAGAGCACATGGATGATACAGCAGAGGATTGGGAGAATGTCATGTGGTCAGATGAAACCAAAGTAGAACTTTTTGGTATACTCAACTCGTCGTGTTTGGAGGAAGAAGAATACTGATTTGCACACCATACCTACAGTGAAGCATGGGGGTGGAAACATCATGCTTTGGGGCTGTTTTTCTGCTAAGAGGACAGGAAGACTGATCCGTGTTAAGGAAAGAATGAATAGGGCCATGTATTGTGAGATTTTGAGCCAAAACCTCCTTCCATTGACTTGAATTTGTGTTATTGACCAAATACTTATTTTCCACCATAATTTACAAATAGATTCTTTAAAAATACTACAATGTGAATTCCTGGATATTTTTTTCACATTCTGTCTCTCACAGTTGAAGTGTACCTATGATGAAAATTAAGACCTCTGTCATTATTTTAAGTGGAAGAACTTGCACAATTCGGTGCTGGAGGAGAGCCCATCATGGGAGAACAAGCCCCTACACGGCATGTACCACCGAAGCATAACAGAAGTGGCTGATCTCAAGAAGTCTTACCAATGGCTAGAAAGGGCTGGCCTACAGGACAGCACAGAGGCACTCATCATGGCTGCACAGGAACAGGCACTGAGCACCAGAGCGATAGAGGCCCAGATATACCACACCAGACAAGACCCAAGGTGTCGGTTGTGCAAAGAGGGACCTGAGACGATCCAACACATAACTGCAGGGTGCAAGATGCTGGCAGGGAAGGCCAACATGGAACGCCATAACCAAGTGGCTGGCATAGTGTACAGAAACATCTGTGCAGAGTATGGGCTGGAAACTCCAAGGTCTAAGTGGGAAACTCCTCCAAAGGTGGTGGAGAATGAGCGTGTGAAGATCCTGTGGGACTTCCAGATACGGACTGACCGAATGCTAATGCCGAACAAACCTGACATTGTGGTGGTGGGCAGAGGACAGAGGACAGCCGTGGTGGTGGACGTCGCAATTCCAAGCGATGGTAACATCAGGAAAAAGGAATATGAAAAGCTTGAGAAATACCAAGGGCTCAGAGAGGAGCTGGAGAGGGCCAGGAGGGTAAAGGTGACAGTAGTGCCCGTGGTGATCGGTGCACTCGGGGCAGTGACCCCGAAGCTAGAGGAGTGGTTACAGCGGATCCCCGGAACAACCTCGGACATCTCGGTCCAGAATTGTTCAGTGCTAGGAACAGCAAAGAGGGCGAAAGGGTGTGTGTGTGTTTTATATATATATATATATATATATAAAGGGCTGTCAAACAATTAAAATTTTTAATTGAGTCAATTACAGCTTAAAACTTAATTAAGGAAAACGTAGGTACCCCAGCTTTAATTTAGACACGGGGGAGACGGACTGTTTCTTGCAGTTTTTAGTGTGGCGTGATCAGTGCACACAGTGGTCCTGTGCGCGGTCATTGTACACAGTCCTTATATTAATCAAAATTAAAATTAATATTAAATCCTATTTATTTATAAAAAATATAAAAAAGAAACAAATGCTGAAAACAAAGGTTGTAGTAGTTAGATATGGCAGTTATTGATCATACCTGAATATTTGGTGACCACGCCCCTTTTAGAAAAAGTTATTCAAAATTCATACTTATATTTAATCATAGAAAATATAAAAAAGAGACAATTGCTGAAAACAAAGGTTGTAGTAGTTAGACGTGTTAGTTATTTAACATACTTGAGAATTTGGTGACCACGCCCCTTTTAGAAAAAGTTATTCACAATTAATATTAATATTAAATAATATTTATTAATAAAAAATATAAAAAAGAGACAAAAGCTGAAAACCATGGTTGTAGTAGTTAGATATGGCAGCTATTTATAGTATTTGAGAGTTTAGTGCGTGTACTTGGCTTAAAATAAAAACTATTGTTCGTTTACACAGCTGGTATTGGCATTTGTTGACGCTCCCTAAGTGCTTTTCTCGGCACTTGCGGCGCATTGGATTCAAAGGATTTCTCTGCATTAAAACAGCGCATTGGATTTGAAAAATCGATGTTGTAGTAGTTAGCCCATGTAGAGGTGATCATTTTGGCACAATTACTTTCGTTTAACAACGTAGCTTTCGTAAGATATTCACCGTGGAAGTCCGAATCTGTGAATATCAAGCTAACTTTACCGAACTTTCTACTGCTACTGTGAGGAGCTGTATAATAAATTATAATTAAATATTAGAATATATTCCAAAACATTTGTGTGTATGAACATTCCCAGAAGAGATGGCTAATCGATTCTTCAAAACCATGACAAAATGAGCAAAAAGGGTCAACATTTAAACAATAATGGATATTGCACCGTTAACAGGGTACCAGTGTAATATCCAATACCCGTTTGGTTTTACTTTTTCAAACTCATTGGACTAATTTCCAAATGGAGGCTTACGTATCTGCGCTCAAACTATTATCTGGACTTTAACATGAAACTGGTCTGAACTGAAGTGGTCTGTGGAGTTCATTTATAAAGTAAGGCCCATAACACACTGTTAAATGTGACGCAAAATATATTCCGCAGTTAGCAAACAAATATTGAATAATCCGCGTAGTAGGTCCTGTTGAAAATGTGTCAATCTGATTGGGACGAAGTCGGTGGCTCACAATCACCAAACTATTTGCATGTGTGCTTTTGGATCCAAAAGGTTATCCCCCCTCCCCCCATCCATCCCAATTTTTCTTTCAACATGCCCTAGGACACCGGGTCAGCCACACGTCCATGTCTGCCCGGTGTCGTGCTCCCACCACCGGCTAGGGCCCCAGTGAGTGCAGTGTGGATGCTTTGAGTACACATATATATGCTTTGAGTACATATATATGCTTTGAGCACACACATATTTGCTTTGAGCACACACATATATGCTTTGAGCACACATATATTTGCTTTGAGAACACATATATGCTTTGAGTACACACATGTATTTGCTTCGAGCATATAATATTTGCTTCGAGTACACACATTTGTTTTGAGCATATACTATTTGCTTTGAGAACACATATATATGCTTTGAGAATACAATATTTGCTTTGAGCATTTAATATTTGCTTTGAGCGCTAAGCTTTGAGCGGTCTACGTATGGTCCGGAGCGACCCGGAGCGGAGTTGCCGGTGACAAATGGTGAGAGGGCTGCTACAGAGCCAGTGCGCGCTGTGCCGATGCTTTGAGTGGTATAAAATACTGATAAACTGTGCAAAATCCCGAGGTGTGGAGCCATGGGGCTGTAGGCAGTGAATAAATGACCGGAGCCGTGTCAATAGCTTGGAATACTGTTTGAGCGCTGGTCTCTGTGACGTCAGGACAGAGCGCTGTTTTGGTCACAACCCCCTCTCCTATTTTACCTGATATGACTTTATACTTGTATGTGTGTGTGTATACGCATGTGGTTGTATATATAATTATAAATGTGGTTTTGGGGGGGGTCTGTGGGGAGGAGGGTTTAGGGCTGGGCATGTTGGATTGTTTTTAACTAAACTGTAAAGCACTTTGTGTTACACTTTTTGTATGAAAAGCGCTTTATAAATAAAATTTGATTGATAATGAATCGAACGTAGCTTTTGCCCTTCAAGTTGTTTTTTAGGAGTCATCTTTAAAACGAAAAGTTGATTGTGCCAGATGGACGTGACCACTGTGAAAACTGCTAATAGGAAAATATTATCAACGAGAACCAGGTTGAGCAGTCTGCTATCAGGTCAGAAGAAGTCACATTATTGAATTATAGTCAGTCAATAATTAAACCGTAGTGAACACATTTTAAGAAAAGTCTTATTTATTTCGGTTTTATTGCACACACAAAGACTACTAGGGGAACAAGATATTTACAACTTGATATGAAACCAATTAAAAACAGCAGTTTTGAAACACAGATCCACAAGTCCTGTACAATTTAGCAACAAAACTTTGAAGCAAAAGATTAAAGGCAGTTTATTTACACTGGAAAAGAACAGTTCTCGGTCCGTAGGCAGGCGGCAGTGAGTGGTCAGGCTGTGATGGGCTCAGGTACCAGCGACAGTACATAGTCCTGCTCCCCTGCTGGAAGTCCTCTGGGACCCAGTGAGTGTGGCTGAGGGCATCAAACAGCTCCTCGCTCTGCTCCATGTACCTCCTGTTCTCCTCCTCGATGTCCAGAGGGGGGTCTGGGTCTGACCACAAAAAAAAAAAAAAAAAAAAAACACTTTATTTAATACAACACATCATTAGGGAAAACATTTCCCTGTACACCAGATAAGTTAAAGCTGGATTACCTCACTTCATTTTTGCATTCATTAGAAAAATGCAATCCATATCCATGGAGTGCATTGGGATATGCAGTGGGGCCAAAAGTATTTAGTCAGCCACCGATTGTGCAAGTTCTCCCACTTAAAATAATGACAGAGGTCTGTAATTTTCATCATAGGTACACTTCAACTGTGAGAGACAGAATGTGAAAAAAAAATCCAGGAATTCACATTGTAGGATTTGTAAAGAATTTATTTGTAAATTATGGTGGAAAATAAGTATTTGGTCAATAACAAAAATTAAACTCAATACTTTGTAATATAACCTTTGTTGGCAATAACAGGTCAAGCGAATACTATAGGTCTCTCTGGTATTTTGGCCCATTCCTCCATGCAGATCTTCGAGAGCAGTGATGTTTTGGGGCTGTTGCCGAGCAACACAGACTTTCAATTCCCTCCACAGATTTTCAATGGGGTCGAGGTCTGGAGACTGGCTAGGCCACTCCAGGAATTTCAAATGCTTCTTACGGAGCCATTCCTTCGTTGCCCGGGCGGTGTGTTTGGGATCATTGTTATGCTGGAAGACCCAGCCACGTTTCATCTTCAAAATCTCACGATACATGGCCCCATTCATTCTTTCCTTAACACGGATCAGTCGTCCTGTCCCTTTTGCAGATGCTTCACAGTAGGTATGGTGTTCTTGGGATGCAACTCTGTATTCTTCCTCCAAACACGACGAGTTGAGTTTATACCAAACAGTTCTACTTTGGTTTCATCTGATGACATGACATTCTCCCAATCCTCTGCTGTATCATCCATGTGCTCTCTGGCAAACTTTAGATGGGCCTGGACATGCACTGGCTTCAGCAGGGGGACAGGTCTGGCACTGCAGGATTTGATTCCCCTGTCGTCGTAGTGTGTTACTGATGGTAACCTTTGTTACTTTGGTCCCAGCTCTCTGCAGGTCATTCACCAGGTCCCCCCGTGTGGTTCTGGGATTTTTGATTACCGTTCTCATGATCATTTTGACCCCACGGGATGAGATCTTGCGTGGAGCCCCAGATCGAGGGAGATTATCAGTGGTCTTGTACGTCTTCCATTTTCTGATAATTGTTCACACCAAGCTGCTTGCCTATTGTAGATTCACTCTTCCCAGTCTGGTGCAGGTCTCCAATTTTTTTCCTGGTGTCCTTCGACAGCTCTTTGGTCTTGGCCATAGTGGAGTTTGGAGTCTGACTGTTTGAGGCTGTGAACAGGTGTCTTTTATAAGATAACGAGTTCAAACAGGTGCCATTAACACAGGTAACGAGTGGAGGACAGAAGAACTTCTTAAAGAAGAAGTTACAGGTCTGTGAGAGCCAGAGATATTCCTTGTTTGAAGTGACCAAATACTTATTATCCACCATAATTTACAAATAAATTCTTTAAAAATCCTACAACGTGAATTCCTGGATTTTCTTTTCAAATTCTGTCTCTCACAGTTGAAGTGTACCTATGATGAAAATTACAAAACAGAAGATAATTTATTTCAGGACCAGATTGTGATCACAGCGGACCACTGACCCCCACTTTTTCGAGAACATCTACAGGTCTCTCGTTAGCGCGCACAGCTGAGGTAAACGAGCATCATGGCGGAGGCAAACCTGAAACTTCCCATGCCTTCGTTACCGGTTACTGCTTTTACAGCGAAACAGCCAAAAGAAAGTCCCTTCAAGAACAGAGAGAGGCTAAGCGTTTGAAGAACCGAGAGAGAGGCACCCGGGAAGCGCGGTTGACAAGACTAGCACTGGGGCAATCAAATGAGGAAATCCCACACTTCCCCCCGTTAGAGAGACACATTTTCTGTATAATGGACCATGCTAATTACCTAGCTCAATGAAGCGCTTTGCTCCAACTCGCCCTCACTCCTGTGGACTTACATCGAAAAAGTAAACTCTACCTCAGTAACCATTTTGTGTCACACTCAACATTTAGAGATTAATACATTTGGTTTAGCCTTTAGGTTTTGTAGGCTTTGGTAATCCTGATATGAGCCAAGGAGACAATTGACCAATTAGATGCAGTCCTTCGCAGAGGAAACTCAAACTTGCCTTAGCAACAGTCTTAGCAACACGTCTGGCCCCGCTTTGCTGCTACACTAACGGCGCGGAAGAAATGCTCACAGCTAGCTTTTGTTCCAATTGGCCTCCTCTGCATTAACACCAACACTATGTGCGACGTCAGTCCACTGGTGTAGTAAACAGAATAACTGGTGGTAAACGTTGCTTATTACCTTCAGTTCCGTCGTCCTCTGGGACAGCACCGTCCTCTGCAGCCATCTCTCCGTCCTGAAACACAGCTCTCATAAAGCTCTGGTGCCAAGATCAGTGCTACATGAGTGGTGAGCCCGCTTTGTACCTGCATGGCCATGTACTGGGAGTAGTCGTATCCGGGGTAGTATCCAAAGGCGTTCTGGTCGTAGCCCCAGGTGGTGGCGCTGGGGTAGCCGTAGCCGTAGGCACTGTACTGGTTGTAGGGGTCGTAGCTTTGGCTGTAGCCGCTCCAGGTTTTGGTGTCGGTTGACGTGCTGGACGTGGGCTGCGGTTGTTTGATCTTTAAGCTGCAAAGACATTCACGGAGCCCCTTAGTGAGTCAACAAACAGTTCACAAACATAGACAACATTTTTAAACACAAATTCTATTATCTACTAGATATTTTAAGAGTCCACAACAATACACGAGTGGAACCACTACTCTGAGTTATTTGCTTGCCCAAGGACAACACAGCAGACAGTCCTGGGGAGTCCGGTAGAAGTTCTGTGGTGGACTCGATCCCACCGATTTACAAGGCTAAAGACCAATACTCTACTACACTGAGCCACTGTACTCCGCAGTGGTAGCGGTGCCTGAGGGTTGGACAACTCTCGCTTCTCCTGCAGAAGGTCCTGGTTCGAAAACCCGGACGGAACAGGCTTTCTGAGTGAGTTTGCCTGTTTCTTCCCGTGTCTGTGTAGGTTTCCTCTGGGTGCTCCGGTTCCCCTACCACTAAAAACATGTGCCTAGGTCTGTGCTCTGTAACTGCCCCGCTCCCATCTCTGTGTGGAGTGACAGACTAATGCCCCAAAAAACAATTGTAAACTGCTTTGACTCTGGTCTGTGAAAGGTCTATATAAATAAATGTTACATACTTCTGGTGGGTCGAACCAACTGCCTAAGGCTGAGGTCCAATACTGAGCCCCTGTCCGCCCCACATTGTAATAGTATGATGGTCCATATTGGATCATATTGTAATCCATCACCCGTGCGTCTGCCTCAAATGTGAAAAATGTAAAAACATTTACCGATCTTTAGAATGGAAAAACATAACTGTTCATTTATTTTCCTGATGGATGTTCACGATACAAGATTAGACTTGTTGGTGCGGACTGTCTTGAGCACCTGTCAGCTGGACCTCTCTGGAGAACCACAAACCACTTCCATCCATAGGCAACCCAGCCCCGGAGCCCGCGCAACCCTGGCTAAAAACAGACGAAATGGCCTTCGGCCTTCCCTGCGGGCCTAGGAAAACTTCCTGAAATTGTTAGTGTGGCTCCTGTGCGATGCCTGTCCAGTGCGATGAGAATCAGAGCAGTATAAGTCCGGTACACAGGATGCCAGCTTTCAGAGCCCGCCACGGCCCCCGGAAAAATAAACTCAACGCTAGAGCAGTTTTATACCGTGACCCAAGAGACAGTTGTGAAAGAGGCCAACTCAATTATCATCCCCCGTGGATCGAAGACAACACAGCGAAGACTTCAGTGACATATAATGAATATGTTCTCTGAATACAAAGGCGCGCAAAATGAACAGGAACACGAAAGGTTCATGTCAGAAAAGGTTGCTATAATGATCAGAATATTTACTTAGTCGTCTCAGAGGACTTAGCTGTTGATTCCTAACAACGCAAACACAATCAAGAATCAAACAGTTCTCGGACAGTGGTCATGAATCCAGGACACTCACATTACAACATGTATGGACTTTATAAGATAGATAAGACGTAGACTTTTCGATGTTCACGCAGAGACCTGTTCATGACACATCTGATAGAATCACTCAGGATTGTGCAAAAGAAAGAAACCCGAACCCAATATATGTCCCTCACCTCCTCTTAAAAGTGACACAGAGTCCAGGGGCCTCCTGTCCCCTCCACCTCCCTGTGCAGAGTCCAGGGGCCTCCTGTCCCTCACCTCCTCCACAGAGTCCAGGGCCTCCTGTCCCCTCACCTCCTCCACAGAGTCCAGGGGCCTCCCTGTCCCTCACCTCCTCCCACAGAGTCCAGGGGCCTCCTGTCCCCTCACCTCCTCCACAGAGTCCAGGGGGTCCCCACCTCCTCCTTCCCTCACCTCCTCCACAGAGTCCAGGCCTCCTGTCCCCCACCTCCTCCACAGAGTCCAGGGCCTCCTGTCCCTACGCTCCTCCGCCAGAGTCCCAGGGGCCTCCTGTCCTCACCTCCTCCACAGAGTCCAGGGGCCTCCTGTCCTCACTCCACCACAGAGTCCAGGGGCCTCCTTTCCCTCGGTGTCCTCCACCTGAGTCCTACCGTCCTCACCTCATCCACAGAGTCCAGGGGCCTCCTGTCCCTCACCTCCTCCACAGAGTCCAGGGCCTCCTGTCCCTCACCTCCTCCACAGAGTCCAGGGCCTCCTGTCCCTCACCTCCTCCACAGAGTCCAGGGGCCTCCTGTCCCTCACCTCCTCCACAGAGTCCAGGGGGCCATTTTAGTGTTTCCTGTACCCAGCCCTCGACCTCCTCCACAGTGAGTCCAGGGGGTCGGGGTCGGAGCCGTCGTCGAGCCCCATTCCCCTCTCACAGCAGCGTCTCTGCTGAAAGTATCCAGTGCCTGCATCGCTGACAGAGGAGAAAATATCAACGTCTTCAGTGAGGTAGTGTGTGTGTGTGTAGAGGTGCGTATGCCGCTGCCTTGTCCGCGCGCCGATTCCCTGCAGAGATGGGATCAGTGGCATTATTGTGGCCCTCAGTGGCATTTGCATACAGCGATCTCTAAGGGCAACATTACAGCTGTCAGCAGCCGTTCAACCAGAGTCTATAGTATCAAAATCAGAACACACAGCATAGCCGACTCGGTTCTTCCCAGTGTTGTCACGTGACGCGGCTCCGTCTGTATAAAGAACAATCAAGTCAGGATTAGTCAGAGGCGCCTCTTTCAGGTCTGGCCTGGGAGTGCATCTCTGTTCTCTTGTGGCGATACAGCAGCGTCTCCCCTTTGTACCCCAGCCAACGAGCCGCAGAAAGGCGAGAGGCCCTCTGCTCTAGCAGGATCAGGGACACAGCATGGGGCACAAGCAAAGTTATTCAGTGTATCCCACAAGGTCACGTGATGCTAGGGCCGCTTTCTCAGCGGCAGCCACAGCCCGCAGGCAGCGAGGCAATCCTGCTGCCACGGCATCGAGCTTCGCTGAGAAGTAAGCAGTGGGTCTGTGGCCCTCCGTGAGACTGCAAAAGTACCAACTGTTCCGTTCATCTCCAGTTGCTTTGTCCCGGATCGTCCTCAATTCATATTGTGGGCTTTGGTGCCCAGGTAGATGCTCATTTCCTCATGGTCCATACTACTGTCATCCCTAAAGCAGGGGTAGTTTATCTCTCATCTGAAAAAGAAATATTAGAACACAAAAAACACAAAAAATGCCCACTTTCGCTTGTCAATCTTTTTTCCAATTGGGCAAAACATAACTGCATTGACAGACGGTGTTTGACATCAGGGCGGAGGCTGTAGCCAAATACAGAACAACAAAATGTATATTTCTAATTTTATACTCCCCTAAATGTGAGTTTACAAACCAAGTTGTCCTTCAGCCAACGACAGCTCACTGCGGTTGGACTGTGTCGCTGTCAGGACAAACAGCACAGGGAGGAACTTCCAATATCTTCATATTTCATCTCCGAGTACTTTCCGCAGAGTACTTTTCCTCAGAGTACTCATCCCAGAGTACTCTCACTTGTACACCTGTTCAATAAAGCTTATTATCTTTGACTTACACCGTATGCTGTTGACAAAAATAATTATTCCATGATCACAGTAACGCATTACAGACACATTTGTAATTCCATTCTCCGTTCAGCATTCCTCATTTCACATCACACTCACATCCCAGTCACATCACAGGCCGGTTCCCACGTTAGTATTGGTCCAGGGTTTGTTAAGGTCACGTAGTGTACTTTGACATGACACACAAACACATAACGTACACAAAACATATAACACACAAACATGTAACACAAACATGTAACACACAAAAGGCCTGTGATTTTAACTTTGTTATATTTTCCATGTCCAATTACAATTCTCTCATGAGCTAAGTTCTATTGTTGCAACTTTCAGAGTTCCTAAAAAAAAGAAATCCATTTCCAACTTTTAGTGTTTACCACGTGGTACTTGGGCTTATCACAAATGGTTGTGTCCCCTATATCTCTAATGAGCTCTTGTTACGAAAATGTAGCTTAAAGGTATATAATAACTTCACTTACAATGACACTATGCACCTTTCAAATAACTTAAATCACACAAGGAGGTGCTTCGCAAATCTATCAATCCTATTAAGCTCATGCATTATGTACATGAAATATCACAATTTTAAAAACTGATGACTCGAAATAGAAATGTTCTAAAGGACACTCTGTTCAAAAAAAAAAAGCCTCCTCGGGTACATGCTTGTTCTTTCAACTGTCCCTGTAGTACCACGCTCGGTCCAGCTGGTGGCGCTAATGTTAGCTTCAGTGGCTTCCGCATTGTGCGAGCTTCCTGTTTACATTCTGATGCTGTGGCTAACGGCTAATGTAGCAGCTAATGTAGCTAACAGCTAGCGGGGAACACGTTGTCTGTATCAGAGCAATGAGAGCATTGTGTGAGACGTGTCTTCCCCAAAGTGCAGCGGCTCAGTGGGACACGAGTGTGTGCTCTGGCGATTTAAATAAACTCTGATTCTTGAACGTTTGAAGGGTTATAGCAACAGCACCAACTGTGAGCATCAGCATCAGGCCAGAGGGACACTGTTAGCACTAGGTTAGCTTCGAAATGGCTGCTCAACACCACAGACCCGCGGTTAGCGCGTAGTTAAATCGGATTTTTAAAAGAAAATAAATCACCCCAAATGTAAACCTCGAACCGATGATCAAAATCGATTAATTCCCCATCCCTAACTGAAGCCCTGTGTTTTGTAAAACGACCGCTCACTTTAGAACGGACCAATAATCATCCAGAATTTTAACTTTTACACCACAGATTGTTAGCGTATATATATATACGGGAATGCAGCATGAATTATCTCTAACGAGTGCCAATTGCAATTTGTTTAAAAACTTACATGAGCGGTCGCTTTGGACGAATGTGTTGGTTTGGTCCGTGGCTTGTGTTTCCTCCGTGCCCTGCCTTGCCGTCCTCTGTCCCCGTGTGTCTGCCTTTAACGCCTCCTCCGGTACAGACCTTCGACGCATATCGAGCACACAGTCTTTCAAGCCGGGCTGTAGAAGTCTTTCAAAGTCCGCAGCAGGCCCAGACAGCATCTACAGATTTAAAAATCCAAGAGACAACTTTTGGTCCATCCTGTACATCTTGGAGAGACCAGGGGGCAGCCTGTGCTCAATGGCTTCTTCTGTTTGCGGTGGGGGAACAACTTTCCACGGGCATTTGATATAATCACGCTGCCTCCTCCGTGGAGAGCAGTCACGGGATTTAGAGCAGTTTGTCTCTGGCCTCCAAAGCAGTGGTCGGTGTCTCACATATTAGCTTCCCCGCTTTTTCTTCAGCGGTTTCCTGAGCATGTTTCTGCTTCCGCCACTTCTTCTTCTGCTCCCGGGTTTGGTCCCCACTTCTCGCGGGGTCTCAGCTGGTGCTAGCGCCGCCTGTGGTTGGGGCGTGGGGCTTTGGAGCAGAGAGCAGGGCGCAGAGGAAAACGCCAACAGACCTGAGGGAAATAGGAAAAAGAGGGAAAAGTAGTCTGCTCATTTTTTAAAAACCCAACGCCTTGTTTTGGGTGCACACTCATTGTTAGTAGGGGGAAAGGGGGGGGGTAGGGTGGGGGGTGTGTGTGTGTGTGTGTGTGTGTGTGTTTCTCCGCTTCGGTGAAGAGCGGAGAAGCTATTGTTTTACATATTTCTTTCTCTAACCTCTTTAGCCGTGATATTCTTAAAACCAAGTATATTTTTTTTCTTCCCTTCTTCTAAGTTTATCACGCAAGATGCGTAAATGATTCGGAGACATATAGCCTCCATTGAAAAAAAAAAAAAAACCAGATGGCCTGCACCATAGGCAAGCACTTCATAGCTTGCATCTGTAGATTGATTTTACCCATTTTCTTGTAAGAATAATAGGCCTAACCCGCTCAGTGTCTTCCCTGCTCCTACCCACTTTGGGGCGCTCCATTCCCCCCCACGCTGGTTCAACCAGCGAGCGCGCGTTCTTGAGATGGAGCGGATCTGGCTGAAGATACTTGGAGAAATCAGGGTCGTCTACAGGACGATACTGACGCGCAGCCGCTAGCTTCAATCTAGAACAAAAAGACCCCAAAAAAATCCCGCACAGTGTATGCTGTGGCAGTGAATGAAATACCCCAAAAATACATAAATAAACAAATCCCCGTGTACACTTAAGCGCTGCCCTGGGCTCCTTTACGCAGTTGAAGAGACAAACTCACCAGATTAGTTAAATTGCAAGCATTGTGTAGGGCGGCCATTTTGTGGCCATGTGGTCCTTTGTCCTCTGTCCATGTGTTTTCTTTGTTAAGTGTTTGTCTGTTTAAGCTCAAACTAAACTGACAAAACAAACTCACCCAATTAGGTTCTTTTGGTCTTGTGTGGCAAAAAGAACTCCTTCCGTGCGCAGGACGAGCATGCTCTCCTCTCCTTTGTCTCCAAATAGAGCAGAGGCTGGTGCGTCCAGGTAGGCCAAACAAAGCCGCTCGTCCTCGCCAAAAGTGTCTATGCCAAGACATGCCAGCAACGCCAAATTGTGGAGGAATATTACACCCCAATGCAGTAGAAAAACTCAAAGATGTTTGTCATAGTCAAAAGCGTAAGTTTAATGGAATCACACGCGCGTGAGGAGAGAAGCAGACACATACCAACAGGTCGTATCTCCTAGCTCTGGGGGCCGAGCCCCCAGTCTCGTGTATACAGAGCAACAAGAAAGTCAGTCCCGCCCACAACAGATTGGAGGGGGCCACAGCCTGCTCCACACAGGAAGCGCCGGCACCACCCCCTATGGTGTGTCCTGCATGGGGTGTGAGCAGACAAGACAATGGCCATAATATGGAGGAGGCAAAAGGGTGTGACAGGGCAGCAGGGACCCTCAGGAAGCACAGCATGGCGTCAGAAGGGCGTCTCTGCATCTGAAAGGCCCTCCACGTCCGCGTATTGGCTGTGGCTGGTTATGATGTGTGACTACTCTGAAAACTGTCATCACACTGTCCACCAGCTCAATGTCCTCCCCGTGGATGTTCAGCAGCGTGTGGGAATGTGGTTTCCTCCTGAATTTGATTACCATCTCCTTGGTCTTACTGGTGTTCAAGCTCAAGTGGTTGTGCTCACACCAGTCGACAAAGTCCATGGTAGCCGACTGGTATTCCAGTTTGTTCCTCTCGGACACACAGCCCAGGATGTCTTAGTCTTTGGAGAACTTCTGCAGGTACACGAGGTAGTCAATGGTCCATGCTAGTGCCCTGCACGGGCCTATTATCTGGGCCCGAGCCCGGCCCTGGCCCGAGGGGGTGGAGCGCCAGCCCGGCCTGGTCCGACAGGTTTTCAGAATTCTCAGGCCCGTACCCGTATCAAGCCCAACTTAAAA